AGGTCACTTATTCGGCCCAAGGACGAACCCTATTGAAATTGGGAAAAATCGGTTCAGATTTAGATATAGCTCCCATATATATATTTAACCGATTTAATGTGAACGGTCCCTATATATCTTTCGATTTGCACGAAATTTGGTACAGCCTAATCATTTAGGTCTAGAATGATGTCTGCCAAGTTTCGTGAAAATCGGTCTAGATTTAGATATAGCTCCCATATATAGTTTCGTCCGATTTCATGTAAATGGTGCCCCAAAGTCCCTATATATCTTTCGATTTGCACGAAATTTGGCATAACGTACGGAATTAAGCCTTGAATGACGTCTGCAAAGTTTCGTGAAAATCGGTCCAGATTAAGATATAGCTCCCATATATAGTTTCGTCCGATTTCATGTAAATGGTGCACCAAAGTCCCTATATATCTTTCGATTTGCACGAAATTTGGCATAACGTACGGAATTAAGCCTTGAATGACGTCTGCAAAGTTTCGTGAAAATCGGTCCAGATTAAGATATAGCTCCCATATATAGTTTCGTTCGATTTCATGTAAATGGTGCACCAAAGTCCCTATATATGATTCGATTTGCACGAAATTCGGTACAGCGTAATGAATTAGGCCTATAATGATGTGTGCTGAGTTTCAAGAAAATCGGTTCAGATTTAGATATAGCTCCCACATATAGTTTCGTCCGATTTAATGTAAATGGTGCACCGAAGTCCCTATATATCTTTCGATTTGAACGAAATTTTGCACAGCGTACTGAATTAGGTCTAGAATGATGTGTGTTAAGTTTCTCGAAAATCGGTTCAGATTTAGATATAGCTCCCATATATATTTTCGTCCGATTTAAGGTAAATGGTGCACTAAAGTCCCTACATATCTTTCGATTTGCACGAAATTTGGCATAGTGCACTGAATGAAGTGTAGAATGATGTGTGTTAAGTCTCCTGAAAATCGGTTCAGATTTAGATATAGCTCCCATATATATGTTCGCCCGATTTAATGTAAATGGTATACCAAATTCCCTATATATCCTTCCATTTGGCGGAATTCGGCACAGCGTACTAAATTGGGTCTAGAATGATGTGTGTAAAATTTCTTGAAAATCAGTTCAGATTTAGATATAGCTCCCATATATAGTTTCGTCCGATTTCATGTAAATGGTACATCAAAGTCGCTATATATCCTTCGATTTGCACGAAATTTGGCATAACGTACTGAATTGAGTCTAGAATGATGTCTGCCAAGTTTCGAGAAAATCGGTCCAGATTTCGATATAGCTCCCATATATAGTTTCGTCCGATTTCATGTAAATGATGCACCAAAGTCGCTATATATTTTTCGATTTGCACGAAATTTGGCATAACGTACTGAATTGAGCCTAGAGTGATGTCTGGCTTTTTTCGTGAAAATCGGTCCAGATTTAGATATAGCTCCCATTTATAGTTTCGTCCAAGTTAATGTAAATGGTGCAATAAAGTCGCTAAATATCTTTCTATTTGAACGAAATTTGGCATAACGTACTGAATTGAGTCTAGAATGAATGTCTGCCAAGTTTCGAGAAAACCGGTCCAGATTTCTATATAGCTCCCATATATAGTTTCGTCCGATTTCATGTAAATGGTACATCAAAGTCGCTATATATCCTTCGATTTGCACGAAATTTGGCATAACGTACTGAATTGAGTCTAGAATGATGTCTGCCAAGTTTCGAGAAAACCGGTCCAGATTTCTATATAGCTCCCATATATAGTTTCGTCCGATTTCATGTAAATGGTTCACCAAAGTCTCTATATATCTTTCGATTTGCACGAAATTTGGCATAACGTACTGAAAATCGGTCCAGATTTAGATATAGCTCCCTTTTATTATAGATTGATTATAAGTAATTGACGCACCAAGGATCCAATAGGCTGATAGGAACAAAACGTTCTGAAATTAGTATAATCTAACCTGTGACAAGTTTGTTTGAAATCGCTTAATATTTGGATAGAGCTTCCATATATATTTTCGCCCGTAAATTGGGCATCAAACTCCTCATGTTAGTCAGATTGACATCAAAGTTTGCACAACTTAAAAAATTGAGCATAGAATTACGTAGTTGCGTTTTCTAGAAGTACAGACATAGCCCAACGGATGACCTATTTATATTTGTTTGAAGTCGATTTACATACTTTATGGATAGATCTAGGTAGATTCATATTTAGATAAATATCACATATTTTATTTCATCCAATTTCATGTTAATAGTCCTGTGTAATATACCCATAGTGGTGAAGGGTATCATATAGTCGGCCCCGTCCGACTTTACTACTTTCCTTACTGGTTTTTATTTCTTTTCATTTCATTTTTTTATTTTCATTGGAATTCCAAGTGCCTGAGGGTGGAAGAGGTTTAGGCAGCCTTTGATGTATTCACAAAATTTATTTGAAATATTGTCACAGAAATTTTGCTCTTTGAAAAATAGCAGATGTCTCTTTGTTTGTCACCGTCACATAGCCATAGGTGACAGAGAGCTATCAATTTTTTTTTTTTGGGCTTATCTATTTTTATGTGAAAAATAAAAAAATACAAAATAATATAGAAAAGGTGATATTAAGTTAGGTAATTTGTATATCCTTCATCACACTCTCTTCTACGTATAGATTAACTCTAGATAAATCTATATTTTTTTGTAGTTTCTGAAAATTTTACTGAACGACCCACCATATGTAAAAGAAGAAATCATGCAAGCTTTACTTGTATTTTTAACACATTTTTAGTTCTACGCTCGATCTTTAGGTGAAGCTCCCATATAAAGATCCAACCCTTTACAAGTATTTTTAAGCATTACGAAGTGTAATGTAGCATTTAAGTGAATAAAAATTTATTTACAACACATTTACAATATAATTGCATGCTCATCATCGCATCAATTTTGGTATTTTCAAGGTCCTACCCCATGTTTTTAACCCGAGTATCTGTAGTTTGACATTTCGTTTTCTCTTGCCATCAATTATGGTCTTCTTATTGGAAAACCAGAAGTTATTCCTATTAGAAAATCAGAAGGCTTCTTATTACAAGAACAAGAGGTTTTCTTATTAGAAAGCTGGAAGGTGTTCTTATTAGAAAACTATGGAGTATTCATATAAGTCCCGTGTATAGTTCGTCCCATTTACGGTTAATGGGGCACCAAAGTCCCTAAATATTTTTCGATTTGCACGAAATATGGCATAGGGTACTAAATTAGGTTGAGAATGATATGAGCTAAGTTTCTTGAAAATCGGTTCATATTTAGATATAGCCCCCATATATCGTTTTGTCCGATTTAAGGTAAATGGCTCTCCAAAGTCCCTAAATATGTTTCTATTTTCTCGAAATTTGGCACAGCGTACTGAATTAAGCCTAGAATAAAGTGGGCTAAGTTGCGTGAAAATCGGTTCAGATTTAGATATAGCTCCCATATATATTTTCGTCCGATTTAATGTAAATGGTCCACCAAAGTCCCTATATATCTTTCGATTTACACGAAATTCGGCATACTGTACTAAATTAGGTCGAGAATGATATGTGCAAAGTTTCGTGAAAGTCGTTTCCGATTTAGATATAGCTCCCATATATATTTTCATCCGATTTTAGGTAAACAGTGCACCAAAGTCTCTATATATCCATCGATTTTCGCGGAATTTTGCAGATCGTACCGAATTCAGTCTTGAACGAATTCTTGATGGGCGATACTATAGCCCATATATATTTTCGTCCGATTTTATGTAAATGGTGCACCAAAGTCCCCATATATCTTTCGATTTGCACGAAATTTGGCATAGGGTACTGAATTAGGTCGAGAATGGTGTGTGCTAAGTTTCGTGAAAATCGGTTCAGATTTAGTTATCTTATTAATGTAAATTGATTGACCCAAAGTACTGCAATTAGTATTCCTTCGAAAAGGTGACGTCTGTTAGGATACATATTTGTAGAATATACCATAAATGGTGAAGGGTATCATATAGTCGGCCCAGTCCGACTTTGCTACCTTCCTTACTGGGTTTATTAGCAAAAAATCGGGTTTCTTATTAGAAAATCATATAGTCTCCTGATTGAAGATCACAAGTTTTTCGTATTAGAAAAATAGAAGGCCGTCTCATTAGAAATCATAAATATCATTGAATCAGAAGACCAGTACGTTCTTTTTTTTCGCAGACAAACCTGTCTCCATATGATTAGAACACTAGTACGACCTGAGCGATTTTTAATTTTTATTCCTTCAGAGTGAACAATTTACCCAACAAGCGATTTTATTCCTCAAATGGGTGGTTAAATTTATTGAGGGATCAAATTTACACACCTACGTCAATGAAATTATTCTCTCTATATTTTTTCATTTACCTCTGTTTAAATTTGGAGAATTCTAAAAAAGTTTCCGACCTCATCGAACTTATTCCATGTTTATTTTCCGAACAGGATTTTACAGGACGAAAATAAAGTAGTCACCTTTCAAACAAACAATGAACAATGAAAAACAAGTGAAATAATTGTTGGGCTTCTGTGAATAAATGAATAAATAAACAATAGAAAAGTGAATTGAAAACCGTAACAAAAAATCACAACAACAACAGCAAAAGTCCAACAACTAAATCGAGAAACAAAGGAACACCAAAAACACAACAGCAACTAAAAATGAAAAGAAAGAAAGTGATTCATTAATAAAAAATATTAATAATAAACATGAAAGACAAAAGAAAACACAACTACAAATAACAACAACAACAACATATATAATGTAAACGAACTACAACTACAAAAAAATATTATTAATCATCTCCAGAACAACAACAACAACAAGAAGAAGAAAAATTTAATAAACAAAAAAGAAACACCATCCACAAAAATTCCCAATTCAAGTTCAACAAGAAAATGAAATTAAATTTCAACCTACCCTTTCCGGCTGGTTCTTTATCATCTTCTGCTTGCCTCCTCCATCTTCTTCTGCTACTGCCGATAATTTTCAACAATTTCCAGCTCAATCATGCTCAACGTTATCACATTGAATCCCAAGATCCCATGGCCAGTACAGAGATGCAACAAGTCTTTCGAGCGCCAGCCTCCACCTCATCCCGCTATGCCAACAAAACAGTGCCGCACAAAAATTTGGTATTCGCCGTTCTTCTACCCGGCGTGGAGTTGGATAACAAAAACGATTGTGTTATGGTAAAGGTATTGGCCGTCTTGGAATTGGCCATAAATCATATACATCGCATGGGGTTTGCCCATAATGCAGAAATTGATTTCACTTTGATATCTCGAGACACAAACTGCTCCTCGATCCACGGTCCAATTGGTTTCTTTGAAATCTATATGCGTTTTCCGGAAATCAATGCCGTCATGGGCCTGTCATGTGAATATGTATTGGCACCAATATCCCGTTATGCTGGCGTCTGGAAAATACCCGTACTCACCTCGGGCGGCAGTGCCAAAGATTTTGGCAATAAGGCATCTTCCTATCCTACTTTGACCAGACTGCGAGGCTCCTTGGCCAATAATTTGGGAAATGTTGTCAAGGGGATTTTGGAAAGTTTCAATTGGACCACCACAGTGTTGATATATCAGAATGAGGATACCAAAACCAAGGGCAATTCGGTGTGTTTCTTCTGTGCCGTTGTGGTTCACGACAAGGTCCATTCGGGTTATCAACAGGCAATGGACACGGAGAAATGGACAAAAGCCAGTATTAAATTGTTGCTCAACACTATTGCGAAGAAGGCGAGAAGTAAGTATGAGCAAATTGAAAATTTTAATGGAATTTTGAGACATAATTTTTAAGGTTATGAAAAGAATTAAAGAAATTTAGAAGTTCTTATTAGAAAATTGCCTTATTAGAGCACGGGTTTTCGTTTTACACCATAAAGTCTTCAGATGAAAATACCGAAAACATAATTAAGAAGATCAGAAGGTCTTCTTATTAGAAAAGAAATAGGGTTCGTAATTCTTATAAGACCAACAGGTTTCGTATATTAGAAGACCAAGTGATCTTTTTATTGAAGGTCATCTTTTTAGCAGAACAACAGTTTCTTCTATGAGAAGATCATATGGTCTTCTTATTGGAAAACCAGAAGTTATTCATATTATAAAACCATAAAATTTTCCTATTAAAAATAGAATATTTTCTTATTAGAAAACCAAAAGCTGTTCTCATTGGAACACTAGATAATGTTTCTATTAGAAACTGAGAAGATTTTCTTATTAGAAAATTGGGAGGTATTTCTTTCTTCTATCTTCTTATTAGATGAAGGGAAGTTATCCTTAAGAACCATGGTGGAAGACCCGAAGCTCTTCTTATTAGAAATATAAAAGGTATCCTTAAAAACAATTGAGAAAGACCCGAAGGTCTTCTTATCAGAAAGACAGGAGGTCTCCTATAGTTTATTTTATTAGAAGGACATGTGGTCTTCTTATTGGGAAATCAAAATCTTCTATATTCTTATTAGATAAAGGGAAGTTATCCTTAAGAACCATGGTGGAAGATCCGAAGCTCTTCTTATTGGAAATATAGAAGGTATCCTTTAAAACAATTGAGAAAGACCCCAAGGTATTCTTATCAGAAAGACAGAAGGTCTCCTCTAGTTTATTTTATTAGAAGGACATGTGGTCTTCTTATTGGGAAATCAAAAGTTATTCTTATTAGAAAATCAGTAAGCCATCTTATTAGAAAAGGAGAAGGCCTTCATATTGAAAACTACAAAGCCCAAAGAAAATCATAAGGTTTCCTTATTAGAAGTCGGGAAGATTTTCGTTTTACTAAGCCTGAAGATATTTTTAATACAATAAATTATTCTTATTTGAAAACCGAAAAATATCCATAAGAAGACCAACATGGTGATATACCACAAAGTCTTCTTATTAGAAAAAATCGAAGACCAGAAATGATTATTATTAGCAGACCAACATATTATCTTATTAGATAGTCAGATAACATTCTTATTGGTAGAGCTGGAGGCTTTCTTATTCGAAAACTAGAAGGTCCTCTTATAAGCAGAATAATAGGATATCGTATTGGAGGTAACCAAAAGTTATTCGTATTAGAAAATCAGAAGGCCTTCTTATTAGCAGAATGTGTTCATCTCGGAAGACCTGTAGGTTATGTTATTGGAAGACCTGAAGATATTTTAAACACAATAAATTATTTTTATTTGAAGATCGCAAAATATCCATAAAACGAACAACATGGTGGAATACCACAAAATCTTCTTATTAGAAAAATTCAAACACCTGTAGCAATTCTTATTAGCAGGCCATCATATTCTCTTATTAGAAGGCCAGCTGATATTCTTATTGGTAAAGCAGATGACTTTCTACTTCGGAGACTATAATGTATTTTTATTATAAGATCAATGGGATCGCTAATTAGAAAAAATCAAAAAAAATAGTTATTCGTATTAGAAAATCAAAATACATGAATATTTGATGGTCAGAATGTGCTTATCTCAGAAGACCTGTAGGTTCTCTTATTAGAAGACCAACACGTCTCCTCATTAGAACACATCTTCTAATAATCGTCTGTTTATCTTATTAAGAATATTATTCTTATTAGAACACTTAATGGGATGCTTTTTAGAAAACCAGAAGGACTTTCTAATGCCATGATGTCTTAATAGAAGACCGTAAATTCTCAAAAATACCAATATGTTTTCTTATTAGAACACACCGTATCAGGAACCCAGAAGATTCTCTTATTAGAACACTATGACGTATATTTATTAGAAGATAGGAAGGTCTTCTTCCTTATTTTAATAACAGAAGGTCTTCTTATTAGATGATTAGTAGGATTTCTTATTGGAATATCACATTAAGTACATATTAGAAGACCGGAAAGTCTTTCCAGTACGTATTTGTATTTTGAGAAGACCAAAAAATTTTTAGAAGACCAGGCCCTGCTAAAAGACTATTTTTATTTGAATACCAAATCATATTCTCAAACTAGAAAATCCTCTAATTAGAAATACAAAATGTCTTATCATTTGCAGGCCAATACCTTCACATTAGAAGTTGAAAATCAGAAGGTGTTTTTAGTAAAAGACTTGAAAATTTTTATATAGAAAACCAAAGTCTTTTCCTATTAAAAACCCAAAAAAATCTTCTTATGAGAAGACAAAAAATTTTCTTATTGGAAGATAATAAAAACATCTTTTAAATAAACCTGAAATAATTCTTATTATGCAATCACATGATATTCCTTTTAGAAGATCAGAAGGTATTCTTATTAGAAGACTGGTAGATTTTTTAAGAGACCCCAATTTCATCTTAGTGTAGGACCTTTAGGTATTCTTATTAGAAACCCAGAACGTGTTAGTTTTATTAAACCAAAATATTTTCTTATAAGAAGACCAGAAACATTTCATTTTTCTTATAAGAAGAGAAAAATTTTTTTAGTAGAAGGGAAATGTATTCTTATTAGATACATTTTTTATTAGAAGATATTATCTATAAAAACATATTTTGAATAAGCCTGAAAAAATTCTTATTATGCATTCCCTTTAGAAGATCTTAAGGTATTCTTATTAGAAGGTATTATTAGAACATCAACAGGGAAATCTTCTTAGTGGAGGACCTTTATGTATTGTTATTATTAAACCAGAATATTCTTTTGTAAAAAGGCCAGGCAATTTTCTTTTTCTTATTAGTCAAAAAAAAAATCTTATTAGATGGTATATTATTACAAGATCAATAGCAGACCTAATGGTAAAGATCAAAAAATTTTCTTTTTAATTTCTAATTAGATATTCTTATTAGAAATCAGGAAATTTTTTGTATTATTAAACCAGCATATTTTCTTATATAAATAGAAGAAAATTTCCATTTTCTTATTAGATAACAAAAAAATCTTATTTGCTGACAATAACAACATATATATCAGATGATATTCCTTTTAGCAGGTCAAAAGATATTCTTATTAGAAAACTGATAGATTAGTGCAAGATCAATAGGGGACCTGAAGTATTTCATTAAAGGAGAGATTTCTACTTAGTTGATGACCTTTAGGTTTTCCTATTATAAACCCAGTAAATGTTCTTATAATAAAACAGAATATTTTCACATAAGAAATCCGGAAATTTTCCTTTTTGTGAAGACTTTAATTTATTCTTATTAGAATAATAATCATTCTTATTAGAAAATCAGAAAATGTTATTATTAGAAGGCCAGAAATTTTTATTTTTGGCATATCTGTAGTATTCTTATTAGAATACCAATAGCTCCTCTTGTTTATACCCTTCACCACACTGTGGTACAGGGTATTATGTCTTTGTGCATATGTTTGTAACAGGCAAAAGGAAACGAGATAGACACATGGTTCCTTTTGAGAATATGCATAGAATCACTTTCTAAGTCGATTTATGCATGTCCGTCCGTCCGTCCGTCTGTCTGTCTGTGCATGTTAAATTGTAAACAAAGTACAGGTCGCATTTATGATCCGAATTGGATGAAATTTGGCATAGGTCACTTATTCGGCCCAAGGACGAACCCTATTGAAATTGGGAAAAATCGGTTCAGATTTAGATATAGCTCCCATATATATATTTAACCAATTTAATGTAAACGGTCCCTATATATCTTTCGATTTGCACGAAATTTGGTACAGCCTAATCATTTAGGTCTAGAATTATGTCTGCCAAGTTTCGTGAAAATCGGTCCAGATTTATATATAGCTCCCATATATAGTTTCGTCCGATTTCATGTAAATGGTGCACCAAAGTCCCTATATATCCTTCGATTTGAACGAAATTTGGCACAGTGTACTAAATTAAGCCTAGAGTGATGTCTGCCAAGTTTCGAGAAAATCGGTCTAGATTTAGATATAGCTCCCGTATATAGTTTCGTCCGATTTCATGTAAATGGTGAACCAAAGTCCCTATATATCCTTTGATTTGCACGAAATTTGGCATAACGTATTGAAATGAGCCTAGAGATATGTCTGCCAAGTTTCGAGAAAATCGGTCCAAATTTAGATATAGCTCCCATATATAGTTTCGTCCGATTTCATGTAAATGGTGCACGAAAGTCGCTATATATTTTTCGATTTGTGCGAAATTTGGCATAACGTACTGAATTGAGCCTAGAGTGATGTCTGCCTTGTTTCGTGAAAATAGGTCCAGATATAGATATAGCTCCCTTTTATTATAGATTGATTTTAAGTAATTGACGCACCAAGGAACCAACCCGTCCGACTTTACTACTTTCCTTACTGGTTGAATAACAAAAAATTTTCTTATTGTGAGACCTGTTGGTATTCTTATTAGAGAAGCTAAAAACAGTCTAATTAGAAGATGGAAACATATTCTTATTAGAAGATCCTCACAATTTACATATTTATTTGTTGTTTCGGATACATTATTTTAATTTATTGCTAATAATTACCGTTAACCTGATAATAGTTAATGTGACAAAAATCTAATTTGAAAAAATTATAATTCAAATATTTACATGACATATATTCCTTTTAACACCAGGTGTTCGGATTAGCGTCATACACTTGTACTTGTTGTATACTATCTGCCTGCCTGTCTGTTTGCTTGTTTGTTTATTTTTCTTATAATAATATTTTTTACATAGTTTTCTTAAATGTAAACATTACAACGGATTTTGAAAATTTTCTTTCTTCTTCTTCTCGTTTTTTTGTGTTTTTCATTTTGCCATCGAAGTAAACAAAAAATGTGCCACAACACATAAATCATAACGCGTTTGCCAAGCAGATTTTCTCATACGATGGCCACG